TGAGGTGAACAGGACGAGAGTGCAGTGAAAATGTGGGGTGTCCACCAAGTTTGCTCTCACTTCCCCTGCTACCCTTCCCTGGGACACCAGGGCTTGCTTGCCAGGGAAGCCCCCACACTCATGTGCCAGCTCCCCCCCCAAAAAAAAACCCTCTCCACAACCAGGGGACATTTTCCAAGTGAGCCAAGCTGCAGCCACCGGGACTGCAGAGGCCAGTTGGGCTCCCCATGGGTTCATGCAGGAACCGGTCTACAAGGCCAGTCAGGAGAGAGTGCACTGTCTGCCTGGCTTCTGTGCGGCACTGCCGGGCAGCCCACAGGCCCATGCTGTCTCTCTACTCACAGTGTCTCTGAGTGGGGACTCAGGTGCTGTGACTCTAGCGAAGGGGGCACACGGAGGTCTCGAGGTCCAAGGTCAGCTGGTACCTGCCCTTCCATGCCAGACACTTGCAATTCAATCATTGACCAGCCCTAGGAACCAAACCTGTGCACGAATTTTGTGCACCAGGCCTCTAGTTTAATTATAAACTGCTTGCTTCAAGAATTGTGTCACAATAAATTTCTGCTGTCTTAAGCCACCCAATTTGTGGTACTTCCAGCCCTAGGAAGCTAAACTAGAGGATAAATATGGAATTTTAAAAAATTGAAAATTCTGACAGGAAAAAAACATGTTAAATGTGCTGGTATCCTACAGACAAAGTTGAAATCTAAAATTTTAAAACCAGGGAGGTCCACTTCATTGCTTAAAAATAAATCCCACCTAAATGTTGGCTAGTTTGCTGATCACTTGGTTATTTCTACAACATAATGCATAACCAAAATAAACAACAGCACAGAGATTTTTAAGAACATTCCTACTGTGTCATCTCATGGTGCTGATGGAAGTTAAATTCAAGACTTTTTTGTTAAGGGGCACTAGTATCAGGCTACATTTCCATGTGGATTTTAGCCAACAATCATAAATAATAGAGAACTTGCTCATAAACAATTCCAAAAGGCAGCATGTCAGGCAGATGGTATTTGGGGGTGGGTGGGAAGGGGGAGTTGAACATGAGAAGCATTGTTGTGCCTTAAGTACGCTGGCCATCCTGAACTCACCATTAACTGAAGCATCACTGGGGGTTATGGTTTTACTCAGCTCTCACATGAGTCCAAAGTTTTAATGCTTTAAACTTCTATGCTAAAGAAATTAACCTTTTAATGGCATCAAAGTTCTGCAGGAGAAAACCTTCTATATATAGTAGATTTGGGGGGGAAACTTTAGACCCCAGGAAGGTAGATACTATCTCAACATTCATGGGTATCCACAAAAGGCTTTCATGTTTTGGTCTTCATGAGGGTGCCAGGGTGCTGGGTGCCAGAGAGGTAAGCTGTGAGAATGGAGCAAATCTCACAGAGGACGTGTGTAACTTGCAAGAAAATCCTACTTTGCCACAAATTCTGCAAGCAGTGATTCTTATCTCATTTGTCCAATCCAGGCACCCAAATCGCAACTCAGTGTTTAGAAAGTACTGCCACAGTGAAGGGTCTCCATAAAAAAATGTCTGGAAGTGACAAAGATAGCAGCAGCGTTTGTTGAGAAGGCAGCTCTCACTGCTCACATTAACCAATCAAGCACGTCACTACTTTCCCCCTCACTGTGAGCACAGGTAGCTTTAACCAGAGGGCTGGCCCAGTGTGGATCCTTCCATGTGCTTCAGGGAAGTCTCGCCCCACTCAGACTAGTTTTACTGAGATGTGGCTTTGATCTTCAGCACCAATATCACTGAATCTTAGATTTGGCTGAATTTTTCCCCATCTGGGATACACAGACCAAAGTGCCATGAAGGACAGGAAGAGCCTTTGAGTTGGCTAAAGATGCAAAGGAAGGCTTCATAAGCGATTTATATATGGTCAAAATTTGAAAGACAACATAGAGAAACCAGTTGTATAGGGTGGAGGGTGTCAGAAATGACCTAACAAAATTTTAAACATTTTTATTGTAATTTAATTCACATGCCATAAAATTGGCCTACTTAAAAAAAAAAAGAAAAAAAGAAAAAGACAGGTCAGTGTTTTTTAGTATTTTCAAAGTTGGGCAATTATTATCACAATATAAATTGATAACATTTTTATCATCCCAAAGGAGTAAAGCATTTTTGCTCTTTCAAATTTCTTCCAATGTTATTTTTATAATAAATAATGAAGGTGTAAAGACAAACTTTGTTGTCTGCCACTATGGGAAAGCTTTCCTTCACTTGTGAAACAAACCACAAGTACATCCAAGTGTCTTTTATTTTTAATTTTATTAGTAAGAAGGTAAATAGGTACATGAAAATCTTCACAGGTATCTACAAATGTATTTAAATAAAACAGGAAAAATAGTTGAAATAGAATTTTAGTGATGACTAGTCCACATTGTGTACTTACTGTATAAAAACCTCCAAGTTTATAAAACTTCACTTGCCCATTTTCCATGTCTTAAAAACCAGCTGCAAGAATTGTCAAAGGGGTATCTAACACATGGAGAGACTCTACGACAAGCACGGCACATTCTCAGTTATGCAAGTGACTGGCAATCCTGTGAGCAGAAGCAGATGTGCTCAGTGCGTGGTAAGAGGACTCTGCATGTGGAGGGGAGCCAGGAACTGATGCCTGGAACGTTCCTGACCTCAGTGTCCTCTCCTCCATTTGCTTCCACTTTCTAAATGGGCGAGAGGGCGGTGTGTGCTTGCCAGCCTGGCCTCCGAGAACTGCCTGAAGAGACTACTCTTGGCTGGGACTGTGTGGAAGGCAGAGTTTGCCTTTGAAGCCCTCACACCTTGCTCTGTTCCGGGACCCAGTCTTCGTAGGACCATCAGTTTCCCCAGGTGGCTGTCTGAGTGCTCTCACGGGGTCCTACATTTATCGAACCCTAAAAGTTCTGAGTTCTTTCACCAAGGTTGTTAGCTTAAAAGGCAACGGGTGGGTTTTCTCAGATACCTCTTGGGACCAAAAATCCTGAGGTGCTCATTTCTATTGGCTAAAATGGAGACAAGAGTTAAGGCATTATTTGGGGGCATCGAGTCCTGCCTGAAATCCCTCCAATCATATCCCGTAGATGGCTACTTCCCTAGTGTAAAGTCAATTCTAGACAACCGACACCCAAGACCAGAGGCTGGTGTGGGCCCACAAATAGTCTGAGGCACGTGCGGTTCTCACCCAGTCAGCCGCATACACTGCAAGCCAGACTTCATTCCTGACAGACTTGAAGCGGCTACCATGACAGGATTTAATTCACAAGCAGGAAGAATATGAACTGCATCCGTGTCTTCTTCCATGTGCCTTTCATTTGGTGTCCAAAGACATTCTGCAGCTACAGCCAAATGGCTTGTCTCCAGGTTAAGGCACGACAGAAATTTAATGTCTGTGAGTTTGGCTCTTCTTTCAAACAAAGTGTGATGTTGAAACTGGGATACAAATTTTCCAATGGCTCTGTAAACTTAAGGTTTTGGGTCTGTTTGTTCTACCATTCTTAAAATTCAGGATATTAATTTAAAAATAACTAGTGCCAGTGTAAACATGCTTTAGATACATAGGTCTATAAAATATTGCACATAAATATAAACTTTGTTCAGCATTTCTTCCTAGTAATTTTTCATTATTATAAAAAGGATACAAAGTTGTGCAGACTATATGAATTTGCTTGGTCAATTTTGCTTCAAAAATGTTAATCGTACACATAATTATGGCTTATTTACAAGTTTTAAACATCAAGTTTTTGTGATGGTTAAATTCAAGATGATGGGAAAATAGCTTACATAAAGATACTTTTCCAAAGTTGTATGCTATAAAGATTATCAGTAAAAATGAGTAGTAAAGTTGAAATAGGCAGTTTTAAATAAAATCCTTGGGAATCTGTTTTCATCTCACACCTGCATAACTTTGCATTTCCTTTTTATTTGTGTGTAACCTATCTTCTCTGTGTACATAATAGTTTGAGATATAGTAGAAAAAATAGGCATTTAACCTGAAGTTAAATATTGGTGTTGCTTCTTATAGATATTAAAAATGTTTACCCATATTGTTAAATTGCTTTTCAATTAACAAACTCTAGACATTTTTTTTTATAATTACCATAACTTTTAAACACCACACAGGGTTGAGAGTACCTTGAAATGTGTGTATTGCTAATTAAGTGGAACGATTATTTTCTTAAATAAAAAGAACTATAAAATGTAACTTTACAAAGCTACATTAAGCAGATGTGAGTCCCTAGAAAATGTGAATATAAGTAATTTCAGGTGGAAGGCAGTAGAATATTAAGTGAAGCTATCTTCTAATACCAATTTGCTTTTCCTTACCATGACCTAAAAAGCTCTATTAAATGACTGATCTGCACACAATGGTTAACTTAGAAGGAATTAAGAGAGCTATTTAGAAAACCAGCTGACCAAATCTTAAGTTCCAAAGCCTCTACATGGCCAGGGAAATGGAAAATAAATAAATAAATTGTTATCCTTGCTTACAAGATTATCTTTGTTGTTTCAAAAGTACTTTCACAGTACCAACAACAACATATACTTGTCTCCCTGAGCTGTGACGTCAATAGAAATATCTCTTTTCCATAGGGAGGTGTCAAATATTCTGTAGGATACAGTAGTGTCGGAAGGTTTGGTCCTAGTTCACCTTCTAAATTCTTTCATAACTCAGTCCTTTTGTCTTTTGTGACTTAAGTTGGATTTACCTGGAAAGCAGCCTTGGTTTCCATACCCACTTCAACATGTCTGCCAAATACAGAGTGACTCAAGGGAAAGAAACCTTGCCTGGTGGCTGTTTCTACAGTGGTGAGGATGCTTCCTTCCCAAGGCTGGCGGGCTCCTGGGCAATGTCACCACAGGGTGGTGACCATGAGGTGATAGTTCCCAGGCCTTTCCATTTCCCAGGACGCTGGCAGGTCCAGGAGAACCTTTGTTTAACCTTCATGTTCCTTTTTTTCTTTGAACATGACCGAGTCAGTTTTTGGTCTTTGGTTTTTCCTTTTCAAGCACCAGGGGTTTTCTCATTTGTCAGCTGTTCCCTGTCATTCATATCATCTTGGGGGGGTCTTGATCTGTCAAAGAATCCGCACTACAGAAAAGAAAAATGGGCTATAAAAGCAAGGCCTTCTGGGAATTTGTGAAACCCTCGTGCCAATAATGTTCACTTTATGTGTTGGCTAAGGAAGGAACATGGAGCTCTGTGGAGGTAATCTTCCTGATTCTCCAAATGAGGAGGTGAAAAAAGAATATGTTTAACCTGGAGAGGAATGCATTGCATGGGGCAGTGTTTGTGCCTTCCTGCTGCCTTGCCCTGATAGTGGGAGGATGTCCCTGTTTTATACAAACCAGTTATGGATCTTGCATCTTTCCCTGGGGTTTCAGGGATGTCCTCTCTGCTTTCCTGCGTGGTTTCTGTAGTCTGCAGCAGCACTAACTGCTGACCAGGGAAGGGAGAGTCACTCCTGAAATATAGCTTCCTCAGAATGGATCACAGGAGGAAGGGAGGGGATCCCTGTGTATCCTTCTGCACTTGATGGGACATATAGTATACAGAAGGAGATCTATTTTAATCTTAGGCCCTTTACAAAGATTAACCAGGAACTTCGGGAAGAGGTGATTGTAGAATGTTCAACCTCCTGAATTTCCAATTAATATTTGGTCTAGGCCCGTGGTCGGCAAACTCATTAGCCAACAGAGCCAAATATCAACAGTACAATGATTGAAATTTCTTTGAGAGCCAAATTTTTTAAACTTAAACTTCTTCTAATGCCACTTCTTCAAAATAGGCCATGGTATTTTGTGGAAGAGCCACATTCAAGGAGCCAAAGAGCCGCATGTGGCTTGCGAGCCGCAGTTTGCTGACCATGGGTCTGGGCAAAACTGCCTACAAACTTGGAACCTCAGTTTGTGTTTAGTGTTTCTTCATTAGAAACCCAACCCACTGGGTTTGGCTTATAACTATCAAGCCATCTTTCTTTTGTAGGATTAGCACAACATTCTGTCAATTGGCACGTATAACTATAACATTATAGAAATACAGTTACTATAAATAATAGAATAACACAAAAGCCTGTTTGTAAAGGTGTGCAAGACTAAATGGGCTCAGGATGGCACAAAAAAACTGATACAGATCAGAAACGCCATTTTTTAACTTAAACAGCAAGATTTTCCCAGTTTAAAGGTCTCTTAAGCATGCTTCATATTGTTTTTAAATAAAAACACACTATGATTTTTGGAGAAACACAACAATAGTGGTTAAGTAAGATGTGACTGGCCGAAACTGGTTTGGCTCAGTGGTAGAGCGTCGGTCTGTGGACTGAAAGGTCCCAGGTTCGATTCAGGTCAAGGGCATGTACATTGGTTGCGGGCACATCCCCAGTGGGGGGTGTGCAGGAGGCGGCTGGTCAATATTTCTCTCTTATCGACGTTTCTAGCTCTCTATCTCTCTCCCTTCCTCTCTGTAAAAAATCAATAAAATATTTTTTTAAAAAAGTAAGTTGTGACTGGGTTAATTATTCTGACAGTCATGTAATCCTGACATTGTTTCTCTTTTGGAATGGAAAGCTCTGTGAAACTTGGTAATCATGTTTGTTTTGGGGCCAGAAATTAATCCCTATTGTAGATTTTTAGAACAAACTTTAGTATAACACATGAAAGAGTAAGTTAAGGCTTCCTAATGAAGACAAACTAATTGGCAAGACAAAAAAAAAAAAAAGTCCAAGAATATTATAACATGAATGATCTATTTGTCCTACTTGATAGTCCAAGTACCAATTAATTACTATATTAATTACATCTGTGTAGTGCGTATAAAGAAAAATCTCAAAGGATTGTTGATAGGACCATTTAAATAAAAAGCTTAAGATCTTGGTTAATTAAACAAGAAAAAGAAGTCTTCATAATAACATTTTCATTCCAAGCATACTGGAAAAAGTTAATAAGGTCTAATACCCTCTATATCTATTTATAAGCGATCTCAAGATAAAAGCAACATTCAACAACCCCAAGTCTTCTTAAATGTCAGTTACACAAGGGGACTGTTTGCCAAAGCAAACAAGATACAAGGTTTCTTTTATGTTTTTTAGACTGTTAAAAACTCCCAAATCACACCTCTAGCATAATCTTTTTAAATCCCTAGATGTAGCCTTCTAAATCTCCTCAGTGGCCTCTCTACTCAAAAAGGAAAATAAAATAAAGAAACTTACCTTCCATAAAGCCAAAGTCAAAATGGCCAGAACCAATAATCCAAGAAGTATCGCCAGTATTATCACCCACAATGGGATTGAGAAGGAAACATTTGGTGTTGCCCAAATAACTGATGTCTTAATCTGAAGTGAAAAATAAAGCATATGAGCTTTACTTTGAAAACTCTTTGGTAAAATAAAGCAGTAGTTAGCAATATAATATTGGGAGTAGTTCTGAAAAAAAATCCATATAGTAATTGAAATCATCCTAGGAGAGGCTGAACGGGTTATTGCACTTGAACATGGATCTTAAAAACTCATATAATTTCTCATGTCTCCCAGGTTGGGTGAAAAGCCAATTATAGTTATATTGTAGATGTTTGGCTTATAACAACACAGAAACCCTAAAATAGAATTGAGGTGGACCAGGAACCAACAAGGTGGAAAGGAATGAACTTTAATTGGGATGGAACTTTTATAAAAACAATGGCTAAAAGTAGACCCTACAAAAGATCAAGGCTGTTCACTTGTGTTTCTCCACCAAACTGAGCTAACCTCTCCAAGAGGTGAGCTTGTGCACAACCACAGACTGTTGTATGTACAGGAAGGTTAGCAATCATCTCACCCAACTCCTCATTTTACAAACGAGAAAAAAATGAGTCCCCCAGGGCTGATTCATAGAGCGAAGCAATGTCAGTGCCTTCAGGTTCTGTGCTCTATCAAAGGACAGCCCAGAGCGGGAGGCTAGCCATCTTGCATTTGATGGAAGGAACTACAGCATGCTGTGGAGCTGCCTTCAATCCTATCTCCAATTTTCAGATACTATTAGAACTCATTTCGTTCCCAGTGTTGCAAGGAAACTTGGGATTAAATGAGGCCTTCTCAGCAGGCCTGCATGCTCAGTGTCTGTGAATGACCCCTGCCTCCCAATACGGGCAGGAGCAGCAGCAGACCCCTAAACAAAACCACCACCTGCTAACACCTTTCGTCAAGGAAAAGAGAATAAATATATTCTTGGATCCAAAACGTTCTTCACCAAGGAGACTTATCTGGTTACAGATAGAAGTAAGCATTGCCTCAGCTAAACTGGTTGAAGTGATCTCAGGCAACTTGCTGTCAAGTTGGTTGGAAGGCTCATGAGTTCAGTCCTGACACACGCTCAAGAACTCTAGGCCACAATTCCCTGATCCACCGGTCAGGAGAGGATGAATTCATGGTGAAGGTTGCTGGGCGCTCACACTTTCCCTGGCTGGAAACATATGGATGTCTTCATAGCCTGCACTCTGGTATCGGGCCCTGACTCTGCTCACTTCTTTGCTTCTGCTTCTTAACTAGGTCTGAGCAGCCCGTCTCTGCTCTTCTCAGCTTGTCAGGGTTTTATTGCTCCTTTCATCCTGGCTCACTTCTTCTGTGCATCAGACATACTGATGACTTAATTCATTGAGTTCTCCGAACCAAATGTCATTTATATTTAGAGCAAACAACAGGACCGACTAGAGTGAAACTGCCAGTCATTCCACATGGACGATGGTGCCAAGGACCAGGCTGGCCAGGGCCTACTCACGGTTACTCATGACCTTTCTGCCTTTGACTGTTAGCTGTCCTTGCCAGTATTGTCTCGATTTCATTGAGCACATCAGTGGAAGTGCAACATTCTGTGATCACGATGGCATTACCCATACGTGGTTTGCCATAGTTTAAGGACAGGGCATATGGTACTGAAGAGGGCTCAAAGCATCACCTTGTCCCTGGTTTCTGCAGCCTAAGTAATTTATTTAAAAGCTATCCTTTCATGTGTCCTGCATAAGCGAATCAGGGATTAGGTCACTTCTTAATTATTTTTATATCCTGCTCCCTTATGCATTCCATCTGATGACATATATGAAATCAGCATACAGTCCTAACATATGAGGCGCTCAGAGAAAGGACATGCATATTTTAAAATGACCCCAATGCCACTGGGAGCAGACTAACTGCGTTTTGGTAATGAGAATGTCAGAATTTTGGAACTGAAAAGGACGGTAGTGATTGTGAGTTCCCAAGCCTGTTACATTGCCCCGGGAGAAAATCTGGAGCCATGTAAAATTCTGAGGTTTCTTAGGTTCCTTTCCTCCATAAGTTCTAAGTCCATGGAGGAAATACAGTTTTAGTCTATACATAGTGCGTGTGTTAGAGATTGCCTAAATTATTTAATTTACACTAAGATAAGCAACAATGCTTCTCAATTTTCCATCCCAATTTACCTAATTTTCTAAGTCACCTCCCACTGTTTCATATTAAACATAGGAAACAGTCCTAGTTTTGAAATAAAAAAAGAAGAAAGCTAAAGGAATTGAAATAAAGGTTATAGAGTGTTCAGATTTTTAAATGGAATAAAGAATAGCCACCAACTACTTTGCTGGGATTTGGGGCCAGTTGATTATCGCAAGTTGCGATGTATTGTCTTTAAATTTTGTCTGCCTGTAGAAAGGAGCAGGGAGGTCACTTACAAAGAACTAATAATGATATCTGAAGGGTTTCCCCTCCTCCTCCTGAAGTGATTGAAAAGTAGGAGTAAAACATTAAGTTGAATAAGATATGCTTAGTAGGGTCTCTTGAAGAAAACAGTTTTACAGGGTCATTACAAAATCTACTGTTGTTTGCATTCACTTCTTAAAATTCTGACAGCAGCGTCTTTAAAAAGTCCACATAGAGGAATGCTAGTGTCCCTTTCAGTTCCAAAATTCTGAAATTATCAGCACCACCCTGTTGTCAGCCTGCTGCCAGTAACAAATGTCAATCTTTCTCTGAACACTTTAAACGTTAGGTTTACATATGTTGTATATATTTCCTATATGTCATTGTCTGTGAGGAAAGGACATAAGGAATTTTTACCAGGTGAACTGGACTTTTCTCCTGAACTTGCATCCTCCTCCCCTTGCAGGCTGCCTTTATGACATCCACATGGCACTGAGGCTGCCCCAACTTCTCCATGTAAATGGGTGCAGCTTCAGTGTGGCCAGGTGCGGCTCAGGGGCTGAGCATCGACTTATGAACCAGGAGATTAAGGTTCCATTCCTGCTCAGAGCACATGCCTGCATTGCTGGCTCCATCCCCAGTAGTGGACGTGCATTCTCATTGATGTTTCTATGTCTCTATCAGTCTACCTTTCCCTCCCTCTAAAAATCAATACAAATGTACTTAATAAACAAACAAACAAATAAATGGCTGCAGCTTCAGGGACCTTCCTTGGCCCTAGCTGTTTTTCTAAACTTATCCAAGATTTTCACTTTCATAATCAAGACATCCCTACACTATGGAGAGAGAAAAACAGAAAATCAGCCATAGTGCCCAGAGCTTTCTTCAGATTTCCAGTGCAGAGAAGCAGGCGACACTGCTGGAAAGAGGTGGATGAGAGTCCCATGTGGCTCACCATTGGGAGAGTCACATGTCTCGAAAGGAGAGGTCCTTCAGAGAACACATTGCTTCGGGGCTCAGGTGACATGTCACATCTGCAAATGGCAAGGGGGCATTCCATTTGCATGTGGAGACAGGTAAAGCAAAGCTTTTCCTGAAACTTGATGTTCTGTAAAAATAAACTAGAAACTTGAGCTGCCAGGCAAGCTAAAAAGGAAAAGACTTAATTGATCATATTTATGGGGCCGGCATTTATTTAACTGCTGTGGAAATTATAGAAGGGTTTTGGAAAAGCTTGGCCTCTATATAAATGTTGACAAAACACCAAACATTTGTTAGTTCTATTATTGATGTTTTTCTTGCAGCTTCTTTTGACAAGCCCACCAGAAGCATACATTGTCCATTGGATAATAAAGAATGAGAAAAATAGGTCATAGTTTTTAGAGCTTCTAATGACTAATCCCTGATTTGTAGTAATAATTTTTCATTCATTTGAAAGTAGATTTATTAAATACCCCATGTTCTCTGAAGCTATGTGAGTCTTCTCATCAGCTCCAAGCTGAACCTTCTATAATCCTGCTATCCAATAGAAGTATAATGCAAGCCTCATGTAAAATCTTTAAATGAAAAATTTTCTAGTAGCCACATTAAAAAAGTAAAACAAGAGAAAAGAGCCCTGGCCAATGTGGCTCAGTTAGTTGGATGTCGTCCCACACATCGATAGATCACCAGTTGGATTCTTGGTTAGGGCACATAACCAGGTTGCAAGTTCGATCCCCCGTATGGGTGTATGCAGGGAGGCAACCAATCAATGTTTCTCTCTTACTAGTGCATGGATGTTTCTCTCTCTCCCCCTCTCCCTTCCTTTCTTAAAAAAAAAAATACAGGTTAAAAAGAAAGATGAGGCATTAATTTTAATATATGCTTTATTTAACCCTAAATATCAAAACTATTATTTCAATGTGCAGTTAATATAAAAATATTCATGAGATTTTTATATTCTTTTTTTTTTGTTTTTACTAACTGCAAAATCCCGTGTATGTGTATATTAAATAGTTGCAACACATAATAATTTTCAATAGTTAAAGTGAAATACAGTCTTACCCAAACAAGGAAGCTGTGTTTAATGGGAAAAAAAATATCTAATGCAACTGCAGTTTTAAACTTACATTTAAATGAGTTAAAAAGAAACAGTTCAGGCCCTCAGTCACACTAGCCACATTTCAGGTCCTCAGTACCCACGTGTGGCTAGTAGCTACCACACAGACTGCGCAGCTCTGGGACATCCTGCACAGGCTCACACAAGCTGCGATGCACTTTCCCCAAGCCCGGGATATCCTCACCGGGAAGATGCTCCCAGGGCAGGAGACGGGGTGTACTTAGGACCAAAGGTTTTCCTTAAGGACGTGGGCTTGTGGTTACTTACCTTAAGTGCTTTAAAAAAGAAAGAAAGTAATCCTGAGTAACCAAAGTACTTAAAATTTAGGGAGGAAAATTGCATTGCATGCCAGCTAATCCTCAAACCATTTTAATTAATTTTTATGTACCAAGAACCTGTAGCTATTTAAGGAAACAGTATACAGTTTTAACAATTCACTTATTATAATTATCTGCAATTTTAGGAAGTGGGACTCATAAATTGTAAGTGGTTTAGATTTTCTTCAAATGATGGTAAGTAAGGAACATCTAATCGTACTTTCATCATGTCGTAAATCTTGCTGTTCTTTATTATGGTTGGAAGACCATAAATAAATCTTTAATATGCCTACATTTTCTCACTGACATATGATGTTTTTTTTTTTTTGCAAATTTTGACAAAAATAGCAAGGTAGAAGGAAAAGGACTCCCTTGCATTATGCAACTGTAATTAATGTTGACATCTGTATTTATGTATCACAAAATCTTGTGTAAACATACTGCAGTGAGGTCACAAGGATGTTTTAAATACATGTACCAAGACACCCTTCCTACAGTGCCATTTTACCATAAGGTGGACCAGCTGAACACACATTTTAACAACATTAATTAAGCCCCTGTGCCAAGTAGTGCCTAGCATAAGTTCAAACTCCAAACAATTTTCTAACATAAGAATTCCACTTTAAGCTGCTGAAGCTTTGGGAACAGTTCTGAAAATCAAGTGTATTCACAGTTCATGGTTGAGTTTTTAAGTAAGAATTTTACATACTTTGTAATAGCCACCTTTGGAATTTGGCTTTAGTCACATGGAACACAAGTATTAAAATTAATTGGTAAACAAACAAAAAAAGTGTTCAAGTAGCAGGAGCTGTTTTGTGCTGTAATGAGCCAGCGCTCAGTCCTAGCCCTCTGCTTCACGCAACCTCTCCTCCCCCTCGGGACGCTACAAGTAAGACGTTGTGTGTGGAGTTCATTTTTACCAACACCACGCAAGCAGCAGATGGGGACTGCCATTTCTTCAATATGTAAAGCTTGTAGAAGCCTCAAGAAATGTTTGAATTATGACCATGTTGAAAGGGAGTATAAACATGCTAGTCACCCCCCACAAGGGCCTAGCAAAACAGTCGAATATTCTCTGGTGTGGTGATGGAAGGAGGAGCCGAGAGACTCTCCCCATTGGCAGAGCTGGGATCGGAGCTCTGATGATTTTCAAGCTACTGACCGCAATGAGTTCTACCACCTTAAAGCAATTCTCTCCCTCTAGGATCTTTTTAAGATAAGAATGACAGGAACGCACTATAAAATATGTCTGAATGTTTTTCCAATTACAGTTAAGCTGTCGCTTAACATCATGGACAGATTCTGTGACTTTAAGTAAACTGACATAATGAAACCAATGTTACCATAGGCTAATCAACATAACTGTTAACTTCCTAGGGCATCTCATCAACATCGTAACTAAATTATGGTGAACAAAATGATGTTATTCTAGGACCTGCTGGTGCCTTTACCTAAACGGTGTAGTAAATCATCCACATCAGATAACAAGACTGGTTTTTAAACGCAGTGACAAGGGTGGTGGGGGTGGAGGAAGCATGTATCTGATCGTTTTGTGGATCTTCTGAGATGAGTTGAGAACAGCAGGCTGTCACCTGTGCCAGCACAGAAAGACTCAATACTGTTGATGGAATCAACTGTAACATGTGTTTCTGTTAATGAACATGTGCTCAGAGACAACAAAAGGGCCCAGATTTATCTCCCTTAGAGCTACAAGCCTTTGAACCTCTCTGGATGAACATTCTATATTAAAAACCCAAAGCCTCTATTTTCTAAGTTGAACATAAATCCAGACTATAACAGACTTCTCATGAAAGAGAGGTGAACTAAATGAAGAAAGATGTGGCAGTGCGTGCTTTAAAATGCCACCAAAGTTTACTGAAATAGTTTGACTCTGAAAATCTATTGACATTTCCAATATTGGAAGGGGTGCGGGGAAAGTTACTATTATTGAGAATGGAGACTGAGCTTGTTCTGGGTACTATGCGGGAGTTTTATACACATAATTTTATTAATTGTCTCAAAATTCTTTCTGAATGTGGGTAACAGCCTCAGCAAAGTAGAGTGACTTTCTTCCTGATGGTTTGCTAACGAGGAGAAAGCCCAGGAAACTGCATTTTCCTCTGTGTGCCTGCCTGTGCTGGAGGTTTTCACTATAGAATTGCCACTTGTCAATCTTTTAAAGCACAGTGTCCAAGCCCCGCTTCAGACACACTTAATCCTGACATTCGAGATAAAGACTTAGCACGCATATATTTATTTAAAGTCGCATGAGTGATGATTCTTTTGAATACTTGGGGTTGAAAATTCCTAATCAATGGGTTAATTTAATTTAAATTACTAAAAGTAGTTAAGGTAGAAAGTTTAAGTATTACAATTATCTTGGAAGACCTAAGAAATTGTGGTAGTATCAATTTCTATATCATCCAAAGCAGTGCTTCTCAACTTTTACCTTGAACATGATACCCTGATGCTTTTGGTGAAATGCAGGTCTGCAGAGAGGCCTGTTTCTGAATTTCTAACAACTTCCTAGGTGATGTTGGGTCTGTTGGTTTGTATGCCACACTTTGAATAACAAGGATTTGGGGACCAGCATTCAAGTGGGGGCTGAGGAATGCCTATGGGTGACCAAGAGATGAAGGTTAAAATCTCAGTACTGCTTCCTGCAGCCGTGGCTGTGAGCACTCCCACCGCGAAGGCAGAGCTTTGGAGATCCTGTCTGCTCAGCCTCCCACTCCGCTCCCCTCCGCTCCTCACAGCCTGCCAGGATGCTGAGGGTGTCAGCCGTTGTGCTCTGACAGATATTTGGAGGTCAGTTATGTTTAATAGCCTCAATTTAAAAAAAAAATAAAAAAATTTGTCCAAATTAAGTTCATAGTACACCTTTTACTATGTGAATATCGAGGTTCTCTATGAAGAAAGGAAAGATTTCTGTCTCCTGTCAGGCAGCTGGTCTTTGGCAACTGTCCCTAAGGAAGAGACTCGTCCCTCCCCTCTCACTCATGTTAAAGTTAAGCAATTAGTACAATGTCATCATAATGGTATTGCTGTCTGGACTTTGTCAAAAAAAAATGGCTTGATTGAAAATGACATTAGTCCTGCCCTGTGATTTTTTTGGGGTGGTGATGGTGGTGGTGGTGATGGTAGAAAGTTATATTAAAAGGTTAAGATTTGATCAAATGACACTAAGTAATTTCCAGACTGAAATAATAAAACAATAATCTGAAGGCGAAACTGTCCTCAAGTCGATGTAATAAGCAATTAAACCTAGTACAAGCCAGAAACGTGATTTAAAAAAATATTTAAATGAAATTATTTGTGCCTGTATATTTTTAGATACTTACTGCTATGTTTCCCTCTGGGAGTTTTGCTGGCTGGACTTTATAAGGCATCTTCTTAACTTCAAAGGACACCAGGGATGCAAGAGAATAGGGATCATTCTTTCTCTGCAATTAAAAGTATTTAAATATATATCATACAAAGCTTTTACTGGCAGCCACCAAATTGTTTTCAGTATTTTCCATTTCCAAAGCAAAATGTCCTCCCCTTTCTTCTTTTTCTTTTACTTCCATTCATCCATCATTCACCCGACATCATCCCTCATCTACCCATCATTCATGCAGACATCCATCCATCCATCATCCATCCAAATATCCACCTATCATCTATCCATCATCCGTCCATCATCATCCAATTGTCTATCCATCAACCATTCATCCTCTTCTTATTTTTTTAAATTGTCTTATTAACAAAAGACTTGGTACAATAAAGTTAAAATAAAAAACAGAAAATCAGAGTCCTAAAAAGGAGTAAGCACAATCATTTACATAGCTGATGTGAGAGAAAAACTAAGAGGAAACATACTGGGCTAAAAAATTATTGTTAGAGAGGGAAATATTTTAGGGGAAAGACTAGTACTAAGGAATAAATAAATTTATCACATTTCATCTTATACAGAAGACCCAGAGCACTGACTCAGTCTGGGCACCATTAAGATTTTAGGCTGGCCGAGGGGCTGTCCTGTGCAGTGTAGGATGTTTAGCAGCATCCCTGGCCTCTACCCCCTAGAGCCAGTAGCATCTTCCCCTCCCCTAGATGTGACAACCAAAAATGTCTCTAATTATTGCAAAATCCCCCCTAGCTACGAACCACAGACCTAGAGCCATGTAGTGTTTTTGACAGAATTTTTCAGCAAAAGTCCTTTTTGTTTAATTGGTTCTCATACTAACTGTTGATTAAAGTCAAAGGAAGGACATTTAAAAGTCAAGAAAGGACATTCTGAGAATTTAGGCTTCTGTGCTTCTCTACTTAACTTAAGAGAGTGATTAGATTTACCCAGTGGTGGCCAGTGGCTGGCTCATATGGCTCTTGTGAAATTGTTAAAGTTTCAGGAATTGTGAGGAACAGCTGTTAAATAGAACCATTACTAAAATGTAAATTATATATACATAAAATTCTGTCAATTATGTATTTTTAAAGGTAATACATACTGAAAGCTCAGTACTTTTAGTTCTTTTATTACATTTTACTATTATCTATATATTATTTATATCTATTGTATCTGAAGGGGAAAGACTGTGTGATGGAGAGCTATAGTGCATCTTTTTCCAACATATTCAGCGATGTCATGTTAGCTGCTTGAAATTGGCCCTGGAGAACAATATTTACACCATGGGAATCAGTGAATGCAGACCGGTGCAGTCATTGTGGAAAGCAATATGGAGTTAACTCAAAAAATTAAAAATGGAACCACCTTATGATCCAGGGGTTCTATTTCTGGGAATTTATCCAAAGAAACCTGAAACACTAATTCAAAAGAGTATATACACCCCTATGTTCATTGCAGTGTTATTTACAATAGCTAAGATCTGGAAGCAGCCCAAGTGCCTATAAGTAGATGAGTGGATAGAAAAGCTGTGATACATTTACACAATGGGATGCTATTTCGTTTAAAAAAAAAAGAAGAAGAAAATCTTACCCTTTACAACAGCATAGATGGACCTGTAGAGTTCTATGCTAAGTGAAATAGGCCAGTCAGAGAAAGACAAATATCATATGATTTCACTCATATGTGGAATCTAGTGAAAAAATAAACTAATAAACAAAATAGAAACAGACTCAGAGATAGAAAACAGACTGGCAGCTGCCAGAGGGGAAGGGTCTTGGGGGGCTGCGTGAAGAAGGTAAAGGGATTAAGAGGGGGGAAAATCTCATAGATACAGACAACAATATGGTGATTACCAGAGGAAAGGGGGACAGGGGCAAGTAGTGAGGGTAAAGGGAGGAATAAATGGTGATGGAAAGAGACTTGACTTAGGGTAGTGAACACATAATACCATATACAAATGATGTATTATAGAATTGTACACCCGAAACCTATATGTTTTTATTAACCAATGTCACCCCAATAAAATTCAACAAAAAGTAACATAGATAGAATGCTGAAATGAAAAAAATAAAAAATTAAATATAAAATATTTTGAAATTAAATCTAAAAATTATAAACATATAAAATGTTTAAAACTTAGAAATCATTTAAAAAGTAAGCTTGGTGCTGAGCTTTTGAGAAGAGGTTCTCTGTGAGTGGTGTGTACATGCTTCAGTGTTTTCTGTCACCTGGAGAAATGTCTTGGCCCATAACCGTGACCTGACTTTCAGGACTGCACTTTCTCCTCCTCCTAGTCGTCCCACTGCACAGGAGATCTGTAAGCACTTGATATTTGTACAATTCTGCAAAAAACAACAGCAACTTTAGCAAATCAGCATCTTTAAATTGTGGTGGAGAGTCAATATTGAAGTGAATTTCCTCAGAAGTAATCACCAAATCCACAAATTATTAATCTAAATGAAGAACAAATGCATTAAAACAACCAAGAAAAAACACACTTTGGTAGCCGTGATACATCAACTTCAGTGGTAATGTAGAGATAAAATGGAACATAAATACAACATAAAATTGAAATTCTTTTCTAAAGACTTAAAACTAACTTATTGTAGCAGCAACTGAATTGTTCTATTTCATTTTAACAAAACTCAGGAAGACATTTCTTTTTTTTAAATATATTTTTATTAATTTCAGAGAGTAAGGGAAAAGAGAGAGAGAGAGAGAGAGAGAGAGAGAGAGAGAGAGAGAGAGAGAGAGATCAATGATAAGAGAGAATCATTGATTGGCTGCCTCCTACATGCCCCACACTGAGGAACATGCTACAACCTGGGTGTGTGTCCTGACCGGGAATCAAACCATGACTTCCTGGTTCATAGACTGACGCTCAACCACTGAGCCATGCTGGTTGAGCAGGAAGACATTTCTTATGAACATTCACAGCACCTGAGCCTGGATTAAGCAAAGTCCTGAAATGTCTTATGAGGAAGGTACCTGAGTCCATATTATCTCAAAGTCCCAAAGTTACTAGCCCTTTGACAAGCATTTGTTCTATAACATTCTTCTTTCTGTCTAAATTACTTCCTGGTTATAAAGCAGGATATTCTGAGAGTTCCATCCATTAAGTTGTTTTTAAACTAGTTTGTAGGGCTGTCCAACTTCTAATGGGTAACCTTTAATATATAAAATGCATGTTCCTGGAAAGTATTCATTATGATGACATTCTACCTATCAAATCATGCTTTCTGACTGGATTCCATTTTCCATGTTCCCATGTACAGATTATACTTCTTGAGTTATACTCACTGATTTGAATTTATTGTGTGGGCTATGGTTTATTTTTTATGTCTCAAGCACTGGGCACTAGCCTATGGATGTTCAATATTAGATACTGTGTGAAGTAGTTGATTAAGACATTTCACATTAATGAAATTGACAAAATACAGAGTAGCCTGAGGAACATATTACTATGAAAACCTTTTTTAAGACCCTCAGAATTCTCTAAAAACCAAGAAATAAGTAACATGTATCTGATAAACTCCAATAAAGTTATATTTCTTTATAATGTTTCCAAATACAGGTTGCTGGGCTGCTCTTGTTCTACCAGAGTTGAACACGTATGTGTTTGGGTCTTGGCCAGGTTGAGAGAGTCCAGGGTTTTAGATGGTTTTAGAAAGTGGTCAAGAGTGTCAAGTGCTGCCCTGGCTAGTGTGGCTCAGTTGGTTAGGCATCGTCCCATGCATTGAAAGATTGCCAGTTCGATTCCTGTCAGGGCACACACCTGGTCACAGCCTCTATTCCCTGTTGGGAGCATCCAGGAGGCAGCCAATCAATGTTTCGCTCTCACAATGATGCTTCTCTCTCTCTCACTCTCTCTCTCAAAAAATAAATTTTAAAAAAATCTATTAAAATAAAAGAGTATCAAGTGCTAAACAGAACCAAGAAAGATAAAGTTTCTGTAAACTGAGTAGTTAAAAAAGGAGGAGGAGGAGATGGGGGCGATAGCTGCAAAAAGCAGCAGGAGCCCGAGATGAGAAAGGCAAGGACAATTCTTAAGTAGAGGAGAAATTATATCTCAGGGTTACAGATACAGATTTTTCCTATGCAAATTGGAAATTATGATCCCAACACAGGATGTTGGCATTTTGCACTTTCAAATTCCTAATCAGAAATGTGATTCAGTAAGTTGTTTTTAACTAAACAAAAACTGTAGGAGGTCTTATTTAGCTTTTGATTTCAGAATAAACTTTGCATAATCACTTTCTATCCAGAATTATTTTGACTCGAGGACATGGGCAGGCATATCATTTGCAAGTTTTGAACCAATAAGAGAGAACAGGAATAAAGCAGTTTAACAAAATCAGAGGTGGAAGTTAAGGATTGCCTTGCCTTCGTCTGCAAGAAACACGTTTCTATGATATTTAGAGGTTAGAAATCATCTTACATTAAAAATCTTTAAAGAGAAAGGAGAAAAAACTCTGATCCCAGAACAGAAGAGCATATAATTTTTCAAAAGAATATTAGTTATTGATCCCCACTGCCTTTATATACTCATGAGACACACGCCGAAGTGAAAAATCAAAAATATAGGTTAATCTTGATTTTCCAAATTCTTGGTCCCCAGAGCTTTGAACATTGATTTGCCAGAGGGCTTCCCCCTGGGACTGCACATTAGAATTCTACAGACGTCAATCATTTTCTTTTTTGTTTATTTAAAAAAATTTAATGAGGAATGACTGATATGTTACATATTAGCTTCAGATGTACAACATAATGATTTGATATTTGTATATATTGCAAAATAATCACCACAGTAAGTCTAGTTAACATCTGTTTCCATACAAAATTACACATTTTTTCTTGTGATGAGAACTTGTAAGATTTACTTGCTTACAGCTTTCAAATATACCATATGGTATTATTAACTATAGTCACCATGCTGTAATTACATTCTCAGTACTTAAATCATTGCATTGTGTTCTCCTTTTAAAAGTCTTTTTAAAATGATACTATTTAGAATTTTATTAAATTATTTTAAACTCTTTAGCATATCAATTCCCTATTCTTACATTTTTTTAAATATTACAGTGTCATAAAAATGTACAGGGAATCAAATCATATAATCTGACAACTGCCATGTAGCTTTTGCCATGTAATTTCAGGTTCTTCTATTATAATAAACATTCTTCTCTTGACTTAAGTTTAACTAATCAAGTTAGACTTGTACTTTCACTCCATTTCCATGTTTGAAACTTTTTACACTGTTAAGATGAAATAAATGAATGCCAGACCATATTCCAAGACATACGTTTTAAAAAGCACCCATCTATCCCCTTTTAAGTATATAGGTCAGTGGCATTAACATTCACATTGGAACAAGTGGAAGAATTGAATCAAAAATGCTGATTCAGGAATGCTGCCCACAGTTTTATTAAGTGCTGACTCAGCTCAGACTAGATCAACCACAGACCTCAGTGCTAAGATACAGTTTTTGGCCCAGGAAAATGGGCCAAAGCCCACCATTCTCAGCTGAGATCCAGGAGCAGGGGTTCGCTTAAAACTCTCATCAGTGCAGTGTATGGGGACAGGCTAACAACCAAATCTTTATGCTCTTGAAATACATTAATAGTCACATTTTATGTTTTCATCGCTACTTCTCCAATGTGGACTCCATGGCAGGTTTAGAAGAATGAAAATGCTACATTGCAAATACTCATTAGGCCTCACAGAAAAGTCATTTTCATTTCATTTCTCACAATACATACTGACAAAAAACGTTAGGCATAGCTGAGCATTAGAGGAAGAAAACCAGTACTTGAAGTGAAAGCCGTCTGTGCTGGGAATTCTGTCCAGCCCAGTCTTCCCTCGTGGTGCCCTGACGGGACTCACCAGGATTTTGGGGGGGCTCTGTCTGCGGAGCTCGGGCACCGGCACCGGCACGTCCCTTTTCTGAACAAGATGAGGGATGGTTGAGTTTTGCAAAAATGCCGTCAGTTCAGGGGTGTCCTTTTGTGGAGCAGCAAGCTGTAAACAGAAAGCAGGAGATCACATATAATCACATTAACACTGTTTCCTAGCCTCGAACTCTAGGCAATTTTTTTCGCAACTGGATGTGATTCACATTAGAATTCAGACATGCTTGCTTTTACCAGCAGCAGCAAAATGAACCTTGTTCTTCAGGAGCAACTTTCCATTCTCCAGTTACAGGAATCATGAGGCATGGGAGTACACCTGGAAAGTTTATCTTATGAAAATAAGACTTGAAGCAAAAGTGATTTTCCCACAAGGATAGAAAATGTGGCGTGGCTTTTCAGGCATGAATCATTATTCTCTCCTTACTTTCCTCTTTTCTCTCTCTCTCTCTCTCTCTCTCTCTCTCTCTCTCTCTCTCTCTCTCTCTCTCTCTCATTATTTTTTATATAAATATATGAAACTGAGTAAGTTTCCATGTGGAGAGATGGATCTTGAGGTGGCAGAAAAGTGAGGCGCTGACCAAGGGGCGCCGATGTGGTCTAGGACCTGACTTCAGCATGCCTGAACCCCAAACTCCTATTGTAAGAAGTGCTCCCTCAGGAAAGAACCAGGTTCTAGTGAAGTGATTTTTCCTAACCATTTCCAATGAACCTGATGCCATAATAAAGTTTGTTTTCAGCCCCAAATTGGTTTTGCAAGTGTTCTAGAATTTATGACTTTATCTCAGGCTCCAGGCTAGCTCATCTGATGGCTCAATCCATATTTAGAGTTCCAATAAATTACACATAATATCTCATTAACATTATTGTTTAAAATATATGTTTTTATTGATTTTAAAGAGAGAGAAGGGGAGAGAGAGAGAAACATCAATGTGAGAGAGAAACATTAATCTGCTGTCTCCTGCACACCCCTTACTGGGGATCAAGCCCAAAACCCAGACATGTGCCTTGACCTGTAATCAAACCCAACCAATGGAAGGAAATGATACTCAACCAACTGAGCCATACTAGCCAGAGCCCCATTAACATTCTTTATTTTTAGACTAAGTACAGAACCCTAATTTTCTGCTCACATTCCCTCCAGACAAACACATCTTCTTTTATGCAGGTTTGTTTTGTGAGTTTTTTTTTTTAAATATATTTTATTGATTTTTTACAGAGAGGAGGAGAGAGGGATAGAGAGCTAGAAACGTCGATGGGAGAGAAACATCGACCAGCTGCCTCTTGCACACCCCCTACCGGGGATGTGCCCACAACCAATGTACATGCCCTTGACCGGAATCGAACCTGGGACCTTTCAGTCCGCAGACCGACACTCTATCACTGAGCCAAACCGGTTTCGGCATTGTGAGTTTTTTTTGTAGTCACAGAAACAATAATGGTATGCTCATATCTGTGGGATGAGAAAAGACATCCTCACATGCAGATGGAGGATGCACCACAAAAGATTAAGATATAGTGCCCAATACATCCTAAGAACTTAGAAAAATCTACTAGACAAACAAAGATAGAACACCTTTTTAAAAAAATATATATATATTATTGATTTTTTACAGAGAGGAAAGGAGAGGGATAGAGAGTCAGAAACATCGATGAGAGAGAATCATCAACCAGCTACCTCCTGCACACCCCCCACCGGGGATGTACCCGCAACCAACGTACATGCCCTTGACCGGAATCGAACCTGGGACCCCTCAGTCTACAGACCAATGCTCTATCCACTGAGCCAAACCGGTTTTGGCTAGAACAGCTTTTTAAAAATTATGTAGAGCTACATATAATTTAGAAAGATATAAGGGGAAAAGGCAGGTTACAAGATGACATATGTAATAAGATTGTATATTTTAATAAAAAATGAATGTACACTTACCTTGTATATCTAGAAATAGAAAAATAACCTAGAAGAATAGTCACCTAAGTATTGCCAGTGATAGAGATTTGATGATATTAAGGAAGTGTTGTTAATTTCTCTTAAGGTATGATAATGATATTATAGACTCATAAAAAGTATTCTCAATTCTGGCAATGTGCAGTGAGATGGAGTGATAAATCAATGCATAAATAAGTAGGAAACGTAACAGTAGTTAGATGGTGACAATAGTAGAAATTTATTTTTTTCTTTATTTTTTTTACATGTTACCTGACGTTCTTATGATGGACATTTAGTATATTTTTATGAAAGCGAAACATTTTTTGATTGTATTAAGAGTAAAAAAGAAATAAGAAAGTAGGAATAGCAAGTATAGTTTGGCCAAAGATGGAAGGGAAGCCCTGGCAGGGTAGCTTAGTTGTCCCGATATGCCAAGGTTGAGGTTTCATCCCTCGTCAGGGCACTTACAGGAATCAAACAATGAGTGCATAAAGGGAAAGGAACAAAATGTCAATGTTTATGTCTCTCTCTCTCTCTCTCTCTCTCTCTCTCTCTCTCTCTCTCTTTCTCTCTCTCTCTCTTCCTCTCTTGCTTTAAAAATCAATAAAAGTATTTTAAAATGGATATGAAAAGGGTCCAGTTCTTGGAAGAGGATGCAGTCAAGTTATTTGCTTACTGTTCTTTTTGAAGATGGAGGAGATGTAACTATGTTTGTAGAACCCAAGGAAGGAACTAGTAGAGAGGAAGAGGTCGAAGATGCAGGACACAGAGGGGATACTTTAGGTAACAAGGTTAAATTTGGAAGCAAAAGAAAAACTTTCTTTCCCCAGAGAGGACACTTTATGTAGCAAAGATGAATTTGGAAGTAAAGGGGAAAATTCTACCTTCCCTGTAAGTTTGTAAAAAACAGCTGAAGATGAGGGAGAGATGATTAGTTGTATGTATGGGGTGGAGGGAGTGGGAAAAATGGATCATTAGAGATTCTCTTGTTCTAAGGTCACGGGCTAATAGTTATGCTAAAGAAGCTGAATAGGAGGAGAGTAGTGAAGGTTTGGAGAAGCCAAAAAAGGGAAGGGGAGGTAGAGATCATCAGAATGGCAGGGAGGTCTTCTTGGGAGCCAGCTGCCCAGTGAGTACTTCCTCCCATCAATCTGCAATGGTGCCCTCAGGTTAAGGGGTAGAGAAGCCTAAATGAGGGATGGGTATGGTCAAGGTTTTCATGAAAGGGACTTGGAAGGATGGAGGTTAAGGGAGGTGAAGGAAGGGAGCTTGTAAAAAGAGTGTTTCGTCGAAATCGGTTTGGCTCAGCGGTAGAGCGTCGGTCTGCAAACTGAAAGGTCCCAGGATCAATTCCGGCCAAGGGCATGTACATTGGTTGCAGGCACATTCCTGGTAGGGGGTGTGCAAGAGGCAGCTGGTCAATGTTTCTCTCTCATTGATGTTTCTAGCTCTCTATCTCTCTCCCTTCCTCTCTGTAAGAAAATCAATAAAATATATTTAAAAAAATAAAAAGAGTGTTTCAACCAACTGATCAAGGAGTCCAGGCAGTCTTGAGAGTAGAATGGGTTAACTGACTAGGAGAAGTTTTCATATCAAGGAAGTGAGAAATTATAAAAACAGAAGCTTGAATTTGAGGCTTGGATGTTAAGTTAAATATCTGAGACTTAGAACTGAGGGAAGGGTCAGCACATGGATACTGAGATACTCCAGAATAATGGCAGGGTTTGGCACAGTGAGGAGTGTAAGGCATGAGTGGCCCAAGGATACCCAATGATGGAGAGTGTGATAGAAAAACCTTTAGATCATAAGATCAAAATTTGAGTTTAGATAGAAAATTGTGAGAGCCTCTAAGATTACATTATATATTTTTCTATCATATTCTGTGTTTGTGTGTGTGTGTGTGTGTGTGTGTGTGTGTGTGTGTGGCTTTTACTTTGAGATTTAAAAAATATATTTTTTATTGATTTCAGAGAAGAAGGGAGAGGAAGAGAGAGATAGAAACATTATGATGAGAATCATTAATCAGCTGTCCTCTTCATGCCCCTTATTGGAGATTGAGTCTGCAGCCCTGGCAGGTACCCTGACCGGGAATCTAACTGCAACCTGGTTCATAGGTTGCTGTTAACTACTGAGCCATGCTGGCTGGGCTGTTTTGAGATTTATCATGTATAATTTATTTTCTTTTTTTAATTGGACTTTGGGAGATCTCTCACAGAGTTAGCTCTGTAGGTAACCAAACTACAGAGAAGAGGTTTTGGAAAGAATTAGGGAGTGTTTCTTTTTCTCCGAGTTATAGCCTAGTAGTAGTAGTAGTAGTAGTAGTAGTAGTAATAGTAGTAGTAGAAATGATAGTAAAATAATAGTCCAAAGAGAAGAAAACCTTTCAAATTCCTGTGCAGTTTCACTGGATGCAGCAGCGTGTGTACAAAGAACAAACACATCCTATTGTGGTGGGTCCCGTATATAATTATCAAATATTTGTGAGGTATTTTAGCAAAACATAGGACTTACTCTGAGCTATAGCATGAATATATCACACAGTGGAAGTTGATAAAAACATATTTCTCTTTTTGGCAACGTTATTTTATAGATAGAGGAATGCCACTCTCAAACACCATAGTTTTCTCAATCCAGTTTTCTCAAATGACATTCCAGAAATTATTTCAAAATACAGAAAACAAAACAAAACCCCAAAACAAAAAAAAACAAAAACAAGAAGTTATCCAAGAAATGTAAACAACAGTGAAAGCCGGTTTTCCAGATGAACTTTGGGAGTCTGTTTCACAACAGAGTGTGAACCCACAGGTCATGCTTTTCCTTCATCTGAAATCCTAAGAGGTGAGGAAGGCTGGGCTCTCAGCACTCATGTTAGGCAGACATTCAGTTCCGAGTAACATTTGCTAAGTGCTGAGAGAAACCGGTGGTAACCACTAAAGTATCTTCTTCAGAACAAATATGAAAATTGCTCCTTTCTGCAATAAGGAAACAATTGTTACTTAATATGGCTCTTCCCCCACCTGCCACTCAGATTTTGACCCCAACTGGAGTTTTCTATTTTCATTGTTCGCCACCAAACTCTGTGCTTTGGTATAAGATTAAATTAATGGAATACTGTGTGGCTGGAATGTTGCAATAAGTTGGAAAACAGCCTTTGAAGAAGAGAAATGGATAAAATGAGATTA